TAATCCTTTGACACACTTCAGTATCGCTCTGTGGAAGTCTAGCCTGGAGGTTCACACACACACACACAGATACACACACACACACTTTGTGATTTTTACCAAGGAGTCCTGCAGGTTGTCCGCGTCTGTTGATAAGGGGAGGAATTGTGTGCTGAGCAAGCAGACCTGAAACATCAGGGAAACTGTTTAGTCCAGTCCACACATCCGTCACCGAGCGGCCAGTGTGGGTGTGTGTGTGTGTGTGTGTGTGTGTGTGTGTGTGTGTGTGTGTGTGTGTGTGTGTGTGTGTGTGTGTGTGTGTGTGTGTGTGTGAGAGCGTCAAACTCAGTTTCAGTTGATCACCCACCCGGCTGCTCTTAAAGGGCCAGTTGTGGCACGATGTGTTGATGAAACCTGCTAAGTTTTAAACTATTAATAAATTCTGAAAATTAGATAAAGTTGAAAATCTTTTCAGTCCCTCCAACATGATGATAAACCCTTTCTGCTCCATCTAAGTTTTCTTCACTCAGTAACAGCTTCCACACCGAATTGTCAGGAGTTGCTTTGTGTTTTTGGTTTCCAGGTTCTGATTTATAGTGTTTTTTATTTTGTGTTTTTAGCTTTTACTCCTTCAGATCCTTATTTCACACCTGGTCATATGATGAGTCTCACACCTGCATTGTTTAATTTGACACTTTGCTACATTTCCTCCCTCTGCTTGCTGAGGAGCCTGCAGCATGTTTGTGTGTTTTCCTTTAAATGACGCTGCATGTTTTCTCCTGATTTCAGGTGTTTGACTTTGCAGAAGGTCTGGTAACGTCTCAACTTGCAAAAAGGTTTCTGAGTCTGTTGTCCCATGATTAACTAATTAGGTTTAGATGAATATGGGATTAATAATGGCTTTATTAAATGACCTGAGTCTATATCTGTGGTTTCTGATTGTGGTTTTATTGGTTTATGATTCTCCCTGGCGCTGATGAAATCAGCATATAGTCATATGTAAGTGTTGCGAACCAGCACTGTTCCTCTAGAAAGTGAAAAATGCTCAAAAGAAGCAGAAGAAAAATCGTGTCCTTGCATCACCTTCACTCCGGCTTCATCTAAATGTTAAAAAGAGAAAAGTTGAGCTTTGTGGCTCAGAAATATGAATTTTTCTTTCTCTATTTTTAAAAATTCTATCAAGAGATAAATTAATGATCAATAACTGATGCTATGTTTTAAACATGAGGTACTCCAAAGAGTCATGAGGCAATGTGAAGTAACTGCTACCCACTGCTGACTGGACCCGGTCCAACCAGCTGGACTCATTTCAATATGACCCATTTTGTCAGCAAGAATCTGAACTGTGAGTTTAGATTATGGATCGACTGCTGTTCAGTGTCATGTTTTTTACCCTGAACAATTATTGTAATGTGTTAGTTCAATATCTAAAGGAACAGCGGTTCTCATGCTGCTTTTATTCTCAGAATGCATTTAAAGAGATCAGCTTCACATAACTTAACGCTTTTATTGGCCTGCTGGATTTAATTTGTGAAAATGATGCAAGACCAATCCTTTACAGGAGTCACACTTCTAATATTTTAGCATGTTAATTTTTTTAACATTTTGATATATTTGAGTGAAAATCAGTTTTTCTACTGGAATAGAGATGAACTGCTCACCTGGCCGTAAGGAGAAATTAAGTACCAATAAGAGTTGGGTGTTTAGTGGATATAAATATTGAAGAAGTTTCATTTCTGATCATTTGATAAAAAACTAGAATGTTTTTTAAGAGATGTTTCTAATCAAACATTGTGTCTGAATGTGTATCTGGTTTGACACAAACCCTAAATTTAAATGCTAAATTTAAATCACGGCTTCAATGTGTTTCAGTGATGAGCCGTTCAGTGAGCAGCTGCCAGGACTTCATGTCATCATACTAGAGAAATGACAACAAAGAATCTGAGAAACATTACGTAACCAAATTAGCGATGAGGGAGATTTAAAGTGGTGGAGACGGTCTCATTCTTTATAGTCAATAATTCCTGCAGCCTTCTGTTCAGAGTTAAATAATTGAATCACAAGGGAACAAAAGAGTTCCTGTGTCTGTCCATTGAACATGCTGCTTTGCTTTGTGATGTGCCGCTCGGTGACGGCCATTGACCAGGATGGATGTGAAGCATTTCAGCTCCATACAGACTGAAGAGCTGGCCTTCTTGTTACTCCAGTCCTCTCCGCTCACCGCAGCGGCGCTGATCAATAGGAGACAGCATGATGATAACATCTGCCTCTTCACCAAATAAATGCTCCAATGCTTTTCTTTTTCACAAGAGCCGCTGAGAACTTTATTCTGAAAAATGCAAAGTACCTAAAAGTTTTGTTTCAGTTGAAGGAGCACTACTTCAACAGCTTCACTAACATAAAAGTAAAACGTATCCAGCCAAGAACTGATACAAGAGTAAAAAAGTATTTGGTGAAAAAGTACTCAAATACTGAGTAACTGATCAAATTATCAATCACTTAAAATTTAGAAATTACATCATCAAATGGGCAGAAAAACAAAATTAAGTGGAAAACTTTTTTATTTTAGGAGCCAAAATGTCAATAATTCAACAAAAAGGAACAAAACCAGGCAAAATAAATGTTTCCAAATCAGTTCCTTTAAATAAAAACCGTAAACTGCAGGTGTGAGTCTGAGAAATTTAGGTTAAAACGTGTTTGATTTTCATTCAGTGGGTAGAAAACCCAGAGATTTTACTTAAGTAAGAGCAGAAATACTTCATAATAAAATTACTCAGGTAAAAGTAAAAAGTACAACGTAGTGAAAATGTTGCAAAAAGTACATTTTTAAAATATAACAAAATGAACAGTGATTTGGTTTGTTGCACAGCAGCTGCAGCATCTTCTGTTCAGCCTCCTGCCTCCTGCTGGGCCTCGTTGAACCAGTTTTCAGGATTCACATCTCATTTAAATCTTGAACATCACAGCTTTTTCTCACAGAGTTTCGTAAAGTTAGCAGTGAAGCATTGCAACAAAACTTTGCTCAATATGTAAATTTTAAATGTACATATTGTCTGATCCTTCTACATTTTTTAGATTTTTCTGCAGATCTGTGTCGACACTTTCACAGCTTCCTTTTTACCTTCATGTATTATTGGTAAGAGTTGCTACAGCAATTATTCCCCTTCAGTTCAAAATCAAACCAGGTTGTTTGAAATGGTTTGTGATTTTAGTGGGGAAAAAAAAGATTTTCCAAATTATTATTCTTGTGCTGGGTGAATTATTCCACCTCTGCTACATTAGTTATAAGCAGATTGACAAAATGGGTACAAAATGTCCCCAAGAAGCTTCGTAATTTATTCAAAGCTTGCACAAAATATCCTGACGGCTTTTTTTCCTGCTCTCTTTGGATAGAAAAAGAAAAAATAAATGATTAAAACTGGATCTATAAAGCAAACAGTTTAAATATTTCACGGATAAAATAACTATTTTATTGATTTAAAGTCTTTAGAGCTGCTTTCTTTTTGTCACTGATGACAGAAATATTAACATTATTATAAAACAGCCCGGTGCTGCAGGCCGGGTGCTGCAGGCCGGGTGCTGCAGGCCGGGTGCTGCAGGGCGGTGCTTCAGCTCGGTGCTGCAGGCTGGTGCTGCAGGCCCGGTGCTGCAGCCAGGTGCTACAGCCCGGTGCTGCAGGACGGTGCTGCAGGCCGGGTGCTGCAGGCCCGGTGCTGCAGGCCGGTGCTGCAGGCCGGGTGCTGCAGGCCGGTGCTGCAGGCCGGGTGCTGCAGGCCCGGTGCTGCAGGACGGTGCTGCAGGCCGGTGCTGCAGGGCGGTGCTGCAGGCCTGGTGCTGCAGCCCGGTGCTGCAGGCCGGTGCTGCAGGCCGGGTGCTTCAGCCTGGTGCTGCAGGCCCGGTGCTGCAGGCCGGGTGCTGCAGGGCGGTGCTTCAGCTCGGTGCTGCAGGCTGGTGCTGCAGGCCGGGTGCTGCAGGCCGGGTGCTGCAGGGCGGTGCTTCAGCTCGGTGCTGCAGGCCGGTGCTGCAGGCCCGGTGCTGCAGGCCGGGTGCTGCAGGCCCGGTGCTGCAGGCCGGTGCTGCAGGACGGTGCTGCAGGACGGTGCTGCAGGGCGGTGCTGCAGGCCGGGTGCTGCAGCCCGGTGCTGCAGGCCTGGTGCTTCAGTCTGGTGCTGCAGGCTGGTGCTGCAGGCCCGGTGCTGCAGCCAGGTGCTACAGCCCGGTGCTGCAGGCTGGTGCTGCAGGCCCGGTGCTGCAGCCAGGTGCTACAGCCCGGTGCTGCAGCCCGGTGCTGCAGCCAGGTGCTACAGCCCGGTGCTGCAGGCCGGTGCTGCAGGCCGGGTGTTGCAGCCAGGTGCTGCAGGACAAGAGGAGATGATTACCCAGTACATCATAAACCCCATCAATGAGCTGATCCATTAAGCAGCCCAGTATTAGATTTTGTTGGTTTTGTTTTGTAGAGATTTATATCTGATCCATCATTTTTGTGTGTTATGGTTGACTTGGTCGCTTCCAAACTATCTTGATTTAATCATTTTTGCTCCAAACAGCGCCTTATAATTTATTTTATTTGGTAATATTGATGAATTTTAAATAATCACTAGACCTTTCTTTAGCAAGACAGTAGTTTCTTCATGACTAACTTTACTGAATATGAAAAGAAGATCTCATTATTTGGTTATTTTATATGAGGGTTTAAGACCGACCGTAACACTTTTAAAGAAAATCTTGTTTTACAGTTTTACAGTTTGCAACCAGGGAGAAAAGAAGTGTGTATTTATCCACATCAAAGAATAAAAAGCTCTTAAAAATGATTTGGTTTTCAAACATTTAGGATCCGAAGAAGAAACATTAAATGGCTGTTGACTGTTTTCTGTCGGGCGAGTTAGTTGTGCTCTGATGACAATGCTATTGCTAACGCTAGCAACAAGCTAACCCATGACATTTCTTGGATCTACTTGTAAGTAATTTATTTAGCTTCTGTAAATCCAGTTGTACGTTAATGTTAAACTGCTTTTCTATAGCGGAGCTGCATTTACTTCCTGCCCTCCGTCTGGCCACCGCCACCAGGGCCGGCGGCCACCGGGCCACTGCCACAGGCCGCCGCCACCGGGCCGCCGCCACCGGGCCGCCGCCACAGGGACGCCGCCGCCACTGCATCTGAACTCAACAATTATCTCCGAAACAAGTTTTTGGGAAACATCTGAACTAAAGTATGTTTTGGTATTTTTTAATTATTTTTTACCAAACTAAATGTAATTTTTGGTGTAGCGTCTAAATTCCTATATTTTAGGCTACTGGTTGTTGCTTTTGGGCGTAGCTCGTTTTACATGCGTTCAGTTAAGATTCAGGATGCCGATCCTCTAGTTTGATTTATAATAAAGTCTTTTATTATCCGAAACATTCTCCATAGTTTAGCATTGCCATTGAAATGCACATGAATTTGACATCCAAACCAAACAGTAGAAAAGTTTGTCCTCTTCCCATTTGCCACACCTGAACAGAATTACGATTGACCTTAAAGAACCCAGAACGAAACACAATGCGCCCTCTGCTGGTGATGACACAAGCAAGTATAAATGGCTCCTACTTTGGCTTGATCATGTACCTGCCTTGGTTGTTGGGAAGCACTTTGGTCGGTTGAAGTTTGTATATAAACAAATTTTGACTCGACTTGGATGAGATTTATTGAAAGTTGTTTTTAAATTTTCATCTACAGACATATTTTTCATCTCAGTCTGACGTCTCTGTCCATCTGTCTCTGTGTTTCTTGCTGGATGATTTGCGTTGCGCAGCATTATGTACCCTTCAAATGATTTCCAGCGTCTCTTGATGTAATATGAATGGCGAGCATTCTGTCCGGGGAGGATGCGAACCGCGGAGAGAACATGTGATGTCACACAGCGGTAGAAGAAGAAAGGTACAAAGATGAGCGACGAATCAAAGCATTTTACTCTTACTGAGTAAAATGTCTGGATTTTCTGCCCACCTGATGAAAAGCAAACATGTTTCAATCAGAAATCCTCCAGAAACAGTTGAGAGTTTTTGACATTTACCCTCCCAGGTTTCATGATGTTTGATTTAATCATTTATCTTCCTGGGGTTCGGTTCACATCTTCAGCAGTCGCTACGTTTTGCCTCCAAATAGAAAAAAATAAACATGAACAGAAAACATTGGAGGATCTCAGCAATATCCAGAGTTGCTGCTTTTTCTCTTGTATTTATGGTACTTCCTTTTCTTTATGATTTTCTAGAGGATATTTAACGCCACAATGAGTCACTCGTTTTTAAACAGGTGTTAGCTTCTGAAGCTAACACCTGCAGAAGCAGCTAACAATTCGCCTGTATTTGTAGTCACAGGAAAGTTGCTGATCTTTTTCAAATTGCTCTCCAACATTAGAGTTTGCTGTTAAGATGGCCGCCTTCATGAGCAAAATACCTCGACACATCACTTTAGTCTTTGATGAAGCCAAACAGAATCGGAGGGGTCCTCTCTCTCTCTGCATTTGTGACGTTATCAGAGCTTTAGGCCGTTTTCATTCTCAGCCATGATGAGCTGGTTTTCAGCTTGTGGAGATGAAAATGTGCCAGTTTGTCTGGGATTATGACGCTAAACAGGAAAGTCAACAGGAAGTGAAGTCTTCACACAGGAAATCTAAACATGACTTTGCATTATTGTTTAATGCTATTTTTCATTAATAGCATTTGAATCTTACAGATTTGAATGTGTTTCTTTGTTTCAATTATGGAAGCGGCAGAATCACATGCGGCGTTCCCCAAGGTTCTGTGTTAGGACCCCTCTTTTTTAATATCTATATGCTCAGGTTATAACAGGAGATCACATTAGCTATCATAGCTACATTGGTGATACACAGCTGTTCATCCTGATGTCACCAGGTGACCTTTGCACCCATCCAATCACTGACAAAACGATGTCCAGCTGAACAGAAACTGAAGTTATTGAAGAGGAACGGTCTAGAGTTATAGATCTAGAATCTACACACCACATCAGTTGTTACAGCTGAAAACAGTTGTTACAGGCTGACCTCTGACCTGACCCTTAGTTTCCATTGTGGACCTTCTAGCAGCTGCAGAACATTTCCAGAACCAGAGACAAAAGTCTCAATCCCGGTTCTACGCCCGTCCGGCTCCGTGGCGTCCGGCTCCGCGGCGCCCGGCTTTGCGGCGCCCGGCTCCACGGCGCCCGGCTCCACGCCGCTCCACAGCGCCCGGCTCCGCGGCGCCCAGCTCCATGCTGCCCGGCTCTCCAAGTGTTTTTAGTGCATTTAATGCTTAAACTCTCCGAGGTGGGAAAAGGACAAAATGTTGGGAAAAAGGTCAAACTAAGGTGCATTTTTTAAAAAAAAAAGACACAATTTAAAATCTCAGCTTCAGACTTTAAAATTCAAAAGTTTGTTTTCTAGGAAAATAGTTGCAGGGAGTGGTAGAGTAGGCGGTGCACTGGGAGGTTTCCAGTTGGAGACGGAGCGACAGCTTCTGGCAAATTAAAGTGCCAAATGGATACGTGTTTATTATAAAAATTATAATAATTGAATCTGTTTTAGAGCTTGTGAAATTGGGCAAACAGCCATTTGGAATAAATGCCAAGCAAAAAATATTAGTACAGAGATAATAAAAATACAAAATGAGAGTTAGATTTGAGGTCATGAAGTTTAATAGCTGCAGCTTCTGGATTATTTCTAATACACAACAGAACATTGAACACATAATTATCTTTGAACTATTTACAAAATATAGAATAAGGAGACACAAATGTGGACAATTTCCAGAGTCTCCAGGTTAATTTTCATGTCTGTCAAAAAAGAAGAAAAACATTCAGTTCCAAAAAAGTTGTTCATTTTTAGGGCATCTGGAAAGCAGCACAAAGTCGAATAAAACATAAACTTGTGCAATCCTCTTATTTAGTCTCTTACAGCTTGACAAAAGGAAACTGTACTGACCATGTTGGGCCTTTTATTAATCCACTGTGATATTTAGAGGAACAGGATTTCACTGAAAGCTGATTACGTTTCTATTCTTCAGAAGCCGCGTCGTCAGACTTGCTCTCACTGTGGCTCCTTCTGTCTTTATTTTAGAGAAATCCTCCCTGGACCGAACGCCGCTCTCTGGGAAAGAGCATTAACATTTATATAGAAACATGAGGCCGTTGTTTGACATGCGATAAATTGGGTATTTTCCCAAATCTGACTGGAACAAGAAAACATTGTCCACTGGCAGACAGCAGGGATGCGTCGAGCCTGAAATAAATGAACACAATTGTCTTTATTAGTTTGTGTTTCAGGATTTATTGTTGGGTTTTTGGTGGTTTTGAAGAGCAGCTGTTTGGCGGGCGGGAACGCGTGGGGTGGGAATACGTCAGGCCTGCTTAGGAGGCTCAAAGTCCATGGCAGCGGCAATTTGAAAGTCGCACACATGATAAATACATTGTGAGAAGAATGTGAGCGGAAACAAACACAGAATCCCAGGGCTGGGACGATGCAATAAATCATATGAATAAATCCGCCAGCTGACCGCCAGGGAGCTCTAATAAACTGAACCTGACACGGCCTCTCCCTCGCTTCTTCCTCTTTCCACTCGCTCGCTCACTTGTCATTTTTCTCCTTCTCCTCCTTTACTGTTTTTGTCTTTGTCCCCCTGCTCAACTCTGCACAAAGCACACACACGCTGTGTGCTTGCCTGGCCCTGTTATGAATTAATCAGTGCTGGGGGGGTCCAGGGGGGGTTTGGAGGGGTCTGGAGGGTCTGGAGGGTCTGGAGGGGTTTGGGGGGGTTGGGGGAGTATGGTGGGGTTTGGGGGGGTTTGAGGGGGTTTGGGGGGGTTTGGGAGGGGCATCTGTATTTGAAAAGTTGGCTGGAGTTTGTTGCTTAGGTGAGTAAATGTGTGTGAAACTACATGGTTGTATTTGCTGTGCAGTTTTGGAAAAGATGTCAATAAGAAAATCAGAAAAATGGATTAAATTTACAGTTAATGTTTGTTTTTAATTCTTGAAGCTTCTCAATGCCTTTGAACTTAAGAAGTAAGTCGAAGCTGAACTCAGCCTCTGCAGGACGGCTGTGTGTCGATACAAATACTGAGGCCTCTTCAATGTTCTGCTCATTTTTATCTTTATTTCATAAAAATGTAAAACTCAGGTTAAGGTTTCTGATGAAAGGCTACAAATTCGTCTGACTATATAATCATCAGTTTTGTGTCATGACTTTCAAACACGTCTTTCTGAATTTTAAGTATTACATCTGCAAATTAGTGACATTTATTGATGGTGTTCAGTATATTTTCTGACTAATGATAATGGCTTTTTGCTTGTTGTTGCTTTGGGTTGATTGCACTTAAATTACTTAGCGTAAGTGCCTCAATTGGATTTAAATCAAATGCTTTTTCTTCCTTTTTTTAAAAATAGAAAATAACCACAGAAAACCTTCAACCGCTCTTATAAATCTAAATGTGTCTTTTACTTCCAAAACAACCACGTCTCAGGTTTGGGCATTTATAATGCGACCAAAATTTGACCTTCACCCAAATTTCTCTGCTGAAATGGGTTAAAATAAGATAGAAATGGCTCCGAGCTATCCATATTTTTTATGATCCAGTGACGACTTGTTCAAAATGTTACGATCATCTTTGAGCAATATTCTGATCTGCAGCAAATAAGAAGAGATTCATAAGGATCAGTGTTTCTCAAATGTTTTCAGGATCATTTACCCCGATTCATAAACTCTCTGGACCACCTGACCTTAAGACGCCCCGGCAACAACACGACATCTTTCTACACACAGCCTGACATTTAAATATTAGCCTCGTCACTCACCATCTTTATTCCTCCTAATGTGAAGGTGTGACTCCATGACAGATCCATGGACCAGTAGGGGGCGCCCATGGACCACCAGGGGGCGCCCATGGACCACCAGGGGGCGCCCATGGACCAGTAGAGGGCGCCCATGGACCAGTAGAGGGCGCCCATGGACCACTAGAGGACCCCATGGACCACTAGGGGGCGCCCATGGACCAGTAGAGGGCGCCCATGGACCAGTAGAGGGCGCCATGGACCACTAGGGGACCCCATGGACCACTAGGGGGCGCCCATGGACCAGTAGGGGGCGCCCATGGACCAGTAGGGGGCGTTCATGGACCACTAGGGGGCGCCCATGGACCAGTAGGGGGCGTTCATGGACCACTAGGGGGCGCCCATGGACCACTAGAGGACCCCATGGACCAGTAGGGGGCGCCCATGGACCACCAGGGGACCCCATGGACCACTAGGGGGCACCCATGGACCACTAGAGGACCCCATGGACCACTAGGGGACCCCATGGACCAGTAGGGGGCGCCCATGGACCACTAGAGGGCGCCCATGGACCACTAGGGGGCGCCCATGGACCAGTAGGGGGCGCCCATGGACCACTAGAGGACCCCATGGACCAGTAGGGGGCGCCCATGGACCACCAGGGGACCCCATGGACCACTAGGGGGCACCCATGGACCACTAGAGGACCCCATGGACCACTAGAGGACCCCATGGACCAGTAGGGGGCGCCCATGGACCACTAGGGGACCCCATGGACCAGTAGGGGGCGCCCATGGACCAGTAGGGGGCGCCCATGGACCAGTAGGGGGCGCCCATGGACCACTAGAGGACCCATGGACCAGTAGGGGGCGCCCATGGACCACTAGAGGGCGCCCATGGACCACTAGGGGCGCCCATGGACCAGTAGGGGGCGCCCATGGAGCACTAGGGGGCGCCATGGACCAGTAGGGGGCGCCCATGGACCAGTAGGGGCGCCCATGGACCAGCAGGGGGCGCCCATGGACCACCAGGGGGCGCCCATGGACCACCAGGGGGCGCCCATGGACCACCAGGGGACGCCCATGGACCACTAGGGGTCTCCCATGGACCACCAGGGGCGCCCATGGACCACTAGAGGACCCATGGACCAGTAGGGGGCGCCCATGGACCACCAGGGGACCCCATGGACCACTAGGGGGCACCCATGGACCACTAGAGGACCCCATGGACCACTAGAGGACCCCATGGACCACTAGAGGACCCCATGGACCAGTAGGGGGCGCCCATGGACCACTAGGGGACCCCATGGACCACTAGGGGGCGCCCATGGACCAGTAGGGGGCGCCCATGGACCAGTAGGGGGCGCCCATGGACCAGTAGGGGGCGCCCATGGACCAGTAGGGGGCGCCCATGGACCACTAGAGGACCCCATGGACCAATAGGGGGCGCCCATGGACCACCAGGGGGCGCCCATGGACCACTAGGGGACCCCATGGACCACTAGGGGTCTCCCATGGACCACCAGGGGGCGCCCATGGACCAGTAAGGGGCGCCCATGGACCACTAGGGGGCGCCCATGGACCAGTAGGGGGCGCCCATGGACCACCAGGGGGCGCCCATGGACCACCAGGGGGCGCCCATGGACCACCAGGGGGCGCCCATGGACCACCAGGGGGCGCCCATGGACCACTAGGGGTCTCCCATGGACCACCAGGGGGCGCCCATGGACCACTAGGGGGCGCCCATGGACCACTAGGGGGCGCCCATGGACCACCAGGGGGCGCCCATGAACCAGTAGGGGGCGCCCATCGCGGTTTGAGAAAGACTTACTTTCTACATGTGAGGAGACTTTAAAAACACATCTTATGTTTTTATATGTCAGCATTGGTGGAACAGTGAGAGATATAAAACTGTGTGACAGCAGTTTGTTTCTGAACTGCTTGTAAAATCGATTCAGCTTTTTCTCCAAAGAGAGAAGAGGAACTAAAGATGAAAGATATTTCTCTCCTGCTACCAATAAGGAACCCCCAGTGAGAGAATGGATGAAGCATATGAATGCGTTTTCACTCACTACATGATCGTTTTGGCAGCGGTTTTCTCTCGCTTGCCTCCTTCCTCTGCTGCTCTGACCTCTCAGAACCTGGAAGGTGTATCAGCCTCTGTATCTGATCTTCCTTCTCGCCAGGGTTCCTTCTGTCAGCGGCTGTTCTCGCTCACAGTATTGAACCAAAGTCCAGGCAGGTGAGGCCGATTCATCAGATAAGCTATCAGACGGCTGCATCACATAGAGAAACCATCAAGTCATGAAATGTGTGTCTGGCTGTGAGTCAGGATGATGCTCTGCCTGAGGAGAAAGCATCAGAAACAGCAGCTCTGGCCTTTAGCATATGAAAGATTTCTGCACAAATTGGATGTAAAATAATGCAGCTTATTTCATGCCGTCCACAAATACATATAAAAAAATCAAAGCAGGATGAACACAGAAAGATACAAATGAACATTTTGTTTTTAAACTGGCTTATTTTAAACCTTTAAAGCAAAAAAAACCCTGTTTAAAATCAAACCTTGCTAACATCGTTTATGATATTTGTTATATTGATTATTTCTCATTCAGGTTTATATATCTTGCTGTGAACCAGTTATGTAAAATTGCCTGTTTTCAGCTTTTTAACAGAATGTCAAAGCTGTGGTTTTGTTTTTGATGAGGGAATCATCTTTTCTGTTTTAGCAGATATTAGTGAACCACTCAAATCCAGTTGTTCACTTCATAGTTCTTCTTGTTTGTGTGAAGAGTTGAAAATGGTAAGATGATCTTTCTGCAGCTGCTTAATGAAAGCCTGAGGAATAATCCTCCAGTCACACACATTTCCACACAGATCAGCTTGAGATTCAACACGTGACAGAAAGGAGCAGGAATTGAACTTGCATCTGTTACATTTCTAGACAACGTTTCGATTTACTAAATAATAACTCAAATGTATCAATTAATCTGAGAAGTTTCCAAAGTCATATCATTTATATTCCTTTGAATCTTTCACAAGATGTGGTTGTAGTTTTTGCTCTGTAGAAATGGAAAAAGTCCAGATAAAAGTCTGATTGTTCAGAGATCATTTGTTTGTAAACTTATGATTTTGAATACTTTAATAAATCTGACCGATTCTTTCTCATATTAGAAGAAAAATCCTTGATATGCCAATAGAAATTCACTGTAAATCATTACTGTGGTATTTAGCAAGTAAAAAATCATTTACTATAAACAATAAGAGAAGTCTTTCTATTCTAGAATATAGACTTCCGGTTTCTAAACCGATATTTCTGTATTGTTAAAATAGCTTTGTTTTTTTTTTTTTTGTTTTTTAAAACTGACTTTGTAAATGTATTTTAGGAAGCATCAGTATTTGCTGTAATTCTGACCTAAAGCACCATTTGGATCTATTTGGAGCCAAAATCCACAATCCTTTGGTGTAAATAAGTGTTTTCAGATAAAATGATGCTTCCACAGATTTGGCTAAATCAAGTCGTTATCTTCTAAACCGCAAAACGTCCCATGTGTTCTTTAGGATTATGTTTCATCGCTGATCAATGGCAGCAGCAGAGCATTTTTGGCATTATCAGTGTCACAATCCCTGATGCCGTTGCTGAGGATTACTGTTCCTTGTAATCTTAGCTTAGTCGTTTTTAGAAGGATCACTGAGCCAAAAGTGTATTTGCCATAATTTAGCGATCTTTTTTTAGTCCTGGTATTTGCAGGAATACGTGCCATACCGTTACCGATCTCCTGTTTTTCCACCTGCTTCTTGTCCTTGTGAAAATGTTGAAGTTGGCCTGCCAGGCCTTTAGGAATGGAAAAATAAGGCATAATTCAGGAGAAAGCCTCACAGCTACAGGATCACATATTTTCTTCTGATTCCCCTCCCCGCTTTGTTTCAATAATTCGAATTTATGTGAATATAACTCAGGGCAGATTGGCCACAGAATCCCCCAAATAAGACACAAACAGCAAGTTAGAAAAAATGATGGCAAGTAGCCAAAGAAAGAGAAAAACAGCTCAAGAAAGCGAGACAGAAAGAAAAAAAACCATTTGATTGAATGAGGTTTAGCCTGGCTGTTGGACCAAAAACAGTTTCATCCCTTTTCCTGCCTGTAATATTTTCCTTCAAGCTTCTCATGATTAATGAAAACCCGGTGAGGACGGGCGTCCTTCCACCTCCTCTGCTGAACTGCAGGGTCTTTTCCAGGTCAACAGAAAAGAATTAAATGGAATTGGACCGCCATGTTGTCTTCAGTGGAAAGAAAAATCCAAAGCTGGTGAATAATTTTTTTGCAATTTCCATTTCATGTATTACAAAAGTCTTGTACCTTGTAATGGTTGATGTTAAATTCCAAGCTGTAATCATAATGTTTGGTTGTTTATTGGCTCTGAGAAGCTAAAGTAGGGGAGCTTCGGTTGTTGGCCTCTAACATCCATCTGTTGTTTGGCTCTCTGTCCCAATAATATATATGCAAATAGTGATGCTAGTTTTAGTCGGCCCATTCATTTAAATCAACACGTTTTTGCAAAATAACTCACCTTTTTTAGATAAAAAATAAGGAAAGTCCAATTTAATATGCATGTTACAAATTTGCAGAAAATGTTACCAAGTATTTCTAGTCTTGTTTTTAGCGCATATATCTTATTGCAGTTCAAATAAGACAAAACTAACTTTATTTACATATATAAATAATTCCCTTATATTGATAAAACTGTTCTAATACTGGGTTGCCAGGTAATGGCACAGTTCTCTTTGTAAAAGTCTGCAAACTGTTTATTTTTGTAAACTTCAAAATAACTGGTTTCAGAAATAGTATCTTGGTATTGTTAGCCAAATGTAAGCATTTTTTAAAGAAACTAAATGATAAACTGTAATCCATAACCAATATATTTAACCAGAGTTATGAGCTTGCCTTTTATAAAACAAAATATTTAATTTCTTTCCAATATTTCCAACATTATGCATGCGGTATTCAGTGCAGATCCTCCCTCAGGTTTCACATCATGCAAGTTGAACGACTAAAATCCTCCGCAGTGACATTTACTTCATGAGTGATTTATGGCGCTTCCTGCTGTCATCT